AATTTATCCTAAATTAATTAAAATAAAAATAAAAGAAACGAAGAGAAGTCGAGTCAAGGACTCCTCTTTTCGAATAATGATTTACGTTCGGTAGCGCTCTGATTTTTATGTATCGCTCTAAAAAGTAAAATGGCTTATATCATTTCAAAATAACACCACTAACAAAAGGTCTAGCGAATGGGATAAAAGTAGGAACATCGACGAAGAGAAAACGAGAGGGGATAAATATATAATTTCAGGAGAAAAAAACTCATGTATGAAGTAAATATATATATATATATGTCTTTTGTTGAAGGTCTAAGGGGTTAAGTCTATCTATAGACTTTCTACTCATCTAACTGGAGAAGCTTTCTTAGTTTGGGTTCCTAGAAAATGAAATCATAGTAATTAAAGAATCAACTATCATTAAAAATCCAAAATAAGGAAGCAATTTATATTATGGTGGCTACCATAATTAGAATTCAGTATAAGGAAATTCTTGATTAAAACAACATCACATATTAATGGTAAATTTGATCCATTCGATCAATACTGATATAATGTTTTTAGATTTTTCTATCCAAGTACCCATTGAAAAGCTATGGCTCAATTTAAACAATATCGAATTAAATAGTTATTCAATATTTGATTTTTTTGAATTCTTTTCAAATCTAAAATTCAAATCTAAAATTCCAACATTATTCAATAATGTTTTTGAATTCTTTCAAATCTAAAATATTAAATATTACTACCAATTGACATATTTTCAATAAAAATATATTAATTTTTTTTTAATAAGATTTCACATTAAAACTCTATTTAAACAAAAACTAATGGGGTGTTTGGCAAATAGCTTTTTGAAGAGCTTTTAGCTTATTGAATAGTTTTTAGCTGTTTGACCAGTCAAAAAGCTAATTTAGGTATTTGGTTAGCTTTTTGGAATAGCTTTTTAGACCCAAAAAAACTAATTTCTGAAAAACTAACTTACCCAGCGTTTTGAAATAGCTTTTTCTGTAAATTTTTTTTATTCCTTATATGCCCTTAAAAATTTATTATAAATTTTACATAAATAAATATATTTTGATTATAAATTTTACATAAATAAATATATTTTGATTATTTATTAATTATATTAGAATATTTTATTATATTATAGTTTTACTTTTATAAATTTAAAATAATTAATTTTTATATAAAAATTATTTTAATCGTAAAATATATAAATTTATTAAAATCAACATAAAATAAAAAATATACATATTAATAATTTATTTTTTTATTAAAATTACATTATATAAATTTTATACTAAAAATAAATTAAATTTATTGAAAATTATAAATATAATGAACTAATCGATAACTAACATAATAAATATATACACGAAAAATTTATTATTTTATATTTTACATCATTTTCAATAAAAAAAAACTATTTATATATTTTAATAAAAATATATTATTTTTTTAATCTAACTTAATAAAAAATAAATACTTTTATTACTTTTACAATTTTCAATAACTAATAACAAAAAATTTTAAGCATTCTAAACTCAAAAAAACATAATTGAATATATTGATAACAAGAATAAAATAGAAATGTCCTCAATTGTCATTTTACGTATAAACAACTAATATCAAACAGTTATTTTACCAAACATTTTAATACAAACAACTAATCGAATCAGCTAGTCAAACCAGCTAATTGAATCAGCTAACAGCTAACAGCTATCAGCTAATTGAATCAGCTAACAGTTAACAGCTATCAGCTAATTGCCAAACACGCCCTAAATAAAAATAAATTCAATCTTGAACCAAAATCAAACAAATTCTTAAGGTGTATTTATTTTTTATTTCAAATAAAAAATACTATTATTCAACTCGCACAATGCTCAAATAAATTTATACTACTTTCTTATAAAATATTATATTGAAATATTATTTACAAAAAAATTCAAATAAATATTTATCATTGTTGGTTGACTCCTGTAATATATAAATAAATAGGTTGAAGGTTTTAGATAAATGGTCATTTGATATAATTTAACATGATATCAAAGCTCGATTAATTAACATGGTATCAGTGTCGGAATTTCCCGCGTTCGAGTGCCAACGCCACCAATTTGTTGTTGTCCGCATGCAAGATTCGTAAATAGTGTATATCCATTTTACATGTGAGGGGCATGCTGGTTGACTCCAGCAATATTTTAATAAATATATCATGCATATTCCTTTAAGTTTAAACTTTTTGATAAAATTTGTTACATACAGATTGAACTTTTTCTTTTATGTATGATTGCACCCGAACACCCAAATTTGGCCTCGTTTGATCGGCCATTGGGACTCTCATCCGGACTCATTCCAAAAATTACATTTCTTAAAAAATATCAATATAACAATGGGGAAAAAATAAAATAAAATACAAATATATCTTATACTTTCTCCATTCAGCTATGACATATACATTTACTTTTTATACGCATATTAATGAATATTAAAATTTTAATAGTTGTTGGTAGATATAATAATGTAAAGACCAAATTATATAAAAGTAAGTGTATAATAAAGTGAATCTAAGATAATAAATAAGTATAAAAAATAGGGTAGTAGTAGTTAGTGATAGGGTCCACGGCTACTAAAAATGAAAATATAAACTTTTGAATTGGACGGACGAAAAAAAAAATATGTAAATATTAAAAGTAGACGGAAGGAGTATTAAATAGAATAAATTATATAATACCCCACTGTATTTAATTAAAAATACATAAAACACCTCATATTATATTTATAATATAAAACATTATTGTGTTAAACTAAAGTATGCATAAATACTTTTTTCGTCCAAAGCTAATGTTTGACTATAAGAGGAGACCTAATTATTTAAATTTTATATAGATAGAATTGGTGAAATATCTTATATAGTATCTTTTGAATAAAACTAAATAAAAATAATTTATCGATAATTCATTTAATAGCTTTTTGGAGATGATTGTCACTTAATTTTTACAAAAATTATAAAATTGATGTATTCATCAATTATTTAGTTGTATAAAATTGGCATAATTAATTACGTGTTTATAATAAAATATTAGTTTTGGACGAAAATAATATTTCCTATATATTTTAATTTAACACAAGTGACATTCATGATGTACATAAACTACGAGATATTTTATGCATTTATGTTTAAACACAAAATAATATTATACAATTTATTTAAATCTAATATAAGAATATGTATAATAATTAAGTGGATAAAATCAATGGCATTTAAATTTCTTTCTTAAAAAAAAAAAAAAAAAAGAAATTCTACGATAACACAATACAAACAGACACAACCAATAAATGGTGTTTGACATTGTGCAAAACATTTTGACATATGTAAGGTCATTTCGACCCTTTACTCCATTTTTGCAGTTGTTACAATACAAATGCATTTGATCTACATTAATTTTAGTTCAACCATAAATTTCAATTTTTATTCTTAAAAAAGTATATTCCCTATATATTTTTTTATATTATTTTATATAAATTTTCATATATATAAATTACACCACAACTTTACTTTATTTTTACATTATAATCTATACACATAATTTATATTTTATTTAAAAATTACATATATTAAAACTGATTTATATATCACTTTTAAAAAATAAAATTACACATTATTTTTTAGAAAGAAAATAAAATTATATCACTTTCTAGAAAGTAAAATTATATATCAATTTTATAAATAAAAGTATACATTATTTAAAAAATAAAAATAAAATTATACATTATTTTCTTAAAAAAAATAAAATTATATATAACTTTTTAAAATATAAAATTACACAATACACTCCAAAAAATAACAAAAATACAAAAAACACCGCAAATACTATAAAAACTCCACTAAAAAAAAATAGAATTGAAGTAGTGTTACTCCATAAGTGAAGGAACAGTATACATAACTTGGGGGGAGGCGGAGGGAGATTCGGAGGTGGGTTGGAGCCTCTCGAGTTGATCTAATTTATTATTCGGAGGTGGTTTGGAGCCTCTCGAGTTGATCTAATTTATTATTCATAAGATATATTAAATTAAAATTTTATTCACATCTTTAATTAATATAATAATAGTTACTCTAGCGTTTTGAAAGTAAAAAACAAAAAGTCAACGTAAATAATTTGTATTGAATCAAACCAAAATATAAAACATAAAAAAATAAATAAAAATGTATCAATCCACAGGGTTTACAGAGACAAAGGACCATTAAGGAGCATGGTATGGACAAAGAAACAACCTTCAAAGTGCGGGAAAATTGCAAAAAATATCCCACTTATACCTCATTATCACTTTTGTCCTGTATTTATCTCTCTGACAAAATATATCCCACATGTTTTCAAAAGTCGCTATTTCTATCCTTTGACCGCGCGTGGCTGCGCGTGATTGTTCGTAAGGGCGCGTGGTGTGAATTTCACGCGCGAAAAAAAGGACATAAATAACACTTTTGTAAACATGTGGGATATATTTTGACAGAAAGATAAATACAGGATAAAAGTGATAATATGGTATAAGTGTGGGATATATTTTGCAATTTACTCTGCAAAGTCCTAAAACACATTGGTAAAACACCTTGGCTTGCAAATTCTACATCTCAATTGAGCACATAGAATAAAATAATTAATATTTTCTGAAACACCATGGAACTCGTCTTTATGCGTGTAAATATTAATATCTAAATAATTAAATTATTTTATCAATCATCTTCCAGGTTTGCTTTGTACTAGTAATTTCTCATTTCTCGAGTCTTTGATCCATAAATCACACTCACCTTCTTTCTAATTATCCCCAACACCAAAACAAGTTTTGTATTGCAATTAAAATTCTACCTCTAAAATACATGCATCATCATCCCCTTCAACACACAAAATTACAAGACACAAGATTATTATGACTAACTCTGAAAACTTTGGTTCACAGGCATCAAGTTCACAAGTTTCGGATCACCGAATCTGCTCTATTGAATAGAAGCGAAAATCATCTACAGATGGCTTAAGCACAAACGGTCTTTATATAATGAATGCACCGAATCATAAGCAAATTTAGTAACGCAGAGCAGCAATGCAATTCAGAAAACATGCAATGCAATTTCATCATCAAAATACATAACTTACAGCTATCAATGTACACGAACATCCAATCTAATCCTTCTGTCTGTCCCAACTCGACTTTCGATATGATGTGCATTAAAAAGACACCAGGCAAATAGACGATTCTCATTCCTCAACTTCCCCCCATCCAAGTAGCACAAAGATTACATAATTCTCTATGTTCTTTCCCTTAATAGATCAGGATGGTGAAGATCTGTTTGCTCCAGGGCTGTATTGCACACAAATAAAGATCACGTGGGGATTTTCATGCACGATCATCGTGTGTATGATTTGGGACTTCTATTTGACTGTCTAGAGGCATGTACTGTGCCATGATAGCCCGTATCTCTGAGTCCATGTATGACTGAAGATGCAATCACAAAAAACGTAAAGGAAAAAATGTTGCAGTCAGTAAATAGTTAACAAGTTATGGCACATATTTTACAATCCGTAGATATGCATGTTTGAAGGTATCAATCAAATATTCAAATGAGAAAAAGGTTTTATAGGGAAAACAAGTGAAAAGTAGCAGTCAAAAATCAATAGGCTCTCAAATGGGGCTAGAATGAATAATAACGGCCTGCAAGTATCATTTATGAAAAAACCAAGAAAATAAGCTTACGGCCATGTCTAATTATATTAAAAAAAGGCAGTTCTTCACAATGTAGATACAATATCTAAAAAGACCTTGCTATGCTTGTCTGCAAATGTCTTTGACATATTAAAGATGATTATTTCACAATTTGCTTATCTATCAGATTTTACATAATTATAAGATGATGCAATTGCATACAATGATACGAGTAGTTAGTAGCTTATGAACTAAACTGAAAAACAAGATGTTTGACATGAAATATTTTGTGTAGAAGACATACCCTTAACCTATACTTGTAAACGAGATAAGCTCCACAAGCAGCCATGGCTAATCCAAGCAAAATAACCCAAACAGCAGTCCATGCAGATTTAACTTCGCTGGATGTCTTGCCTGTGTTCAAAGATTTAGAGAAACAGGAAAATTTGAAGATTGAGTGTACAACATAAAAATGCAAAGTTATGTAACAAATGCAAGTGAACAAACTTATGCAGGTATCATGGTCCCTCATATATAACAGGTCTCCACTACAAGAGCACTCATAGCTTCCCCACGTATTCTTGCAGCTGCATTCAGGACATTGGCAGGCTTTCTTTTCCTGGCACTCATCAATATCTGTGCGCCATACGAGAATATAGCAATATGTTAAGACCAAAAAAGGGAAATAATTGTAGATGGGTGCGAGGGGTAAAAGAATTGCTTTTTCCACTAAAAAAGGCTTTCTTTTCCAGGCAGCCATTGGTGATATTTTATTTAATGAGATATATCTTGATTACCTCTGTTTCACAACTGCACACAAGTGTTTGGGTCAATCAGATTTTGATTTAGAAGCATTTATGCTTGGACTCAAATTTGGGTTTTGTCCAAACCCCTACTAAGTACAAAGTAAGGGAGGAGTCTTAACTTTCCTAGCATTATTCTGATTAATGGTTTGGAAACCAACTTACCAAGTTGCAACCAAATTCAAAAGCAGGCATCACTCAAATGAATGCTACAGCATATATTCAAGAAGATAATGAGATGCTAATCTAGTAATTGATTGAAGAGAATAATTATCAATCTAAACCCCCTATCCTGACATTAAAGGTTTGGTCCACTGGATATAATTGCTTTCACACATTGAATCTATCTGATACTAAAAAGAAAATGCAGGGTCATATAACGTCTATAATAGTTACTGTTTTGTTGAATATGAAATACATGAATAAAGTGTTCAACATGTATCTGACGAATCCAATATTTAGAAGTCAATTATGAATTGGAGAAATGAATATGCATATTGTTTCATCTAGTGGTTACCACTATGGCCTAGTTTGGATGTTACATGTATTGATGCAGGCTAACATCAGGTGCCAAATCACCCTTCAGAAAAATTGGAAATAATTTAATCATGTCACATCCACTGAGTTGAGAGTTACATATTCTGGCATGCACACAAAATCCAACAAAAATGTATGATGACCACGTATATTATCAAGGATAAAGAAAGATTTCTTACCTACACAACTTTTTCCATCTCCTTTGAATCCTGGAGGGCAAATGCATCTTCCATCCTCAGCATCCTGTCAACAAAAGGTTGACATTTTCCTTCTGATCCGACAATTATTACTAGAATAAACTAACACAAAATTGAAAGTATTAACTAACCACGCATGCTGAGTACGTGATACCGTTTCGACTTTCATGCCAACAGCCTCCATGACTGATTTTGCATCGTCCCGGCCCACTTGCTGCAAGATAAATGTTTGATTCAGCAATTCAAGATGTTTGTTACTATGCAACCAACACAATCAAAAATCTAATCATTTACATACCAACACACGAGCTATATCCATCTCCCTTAAACTTCACACCATTAACTACAGGGCATTCACAAACTCTTCCTCTGAATGTATCCTGAACGTGAAAATGGAAGCGTATTAGAACTTGAGAATTTAGAGACCTTTATCAATCAACTACCGTAAAATACCTTGCACGCTGTTAAATTAGCTGCCTTATCTTGCCAGCAGCCACCATTGTTTTCCAAACACTCATTTGTTTCAACATCTGCATATTAGGAATAAAAGGGCTCCAAGTTGATTGGACACTTTCTTTTAATTCAACATTAGGATCTACTTCTGAGCATTACTTACCACCACTTAAGCAAACAGATGGCTCAGTTGTTTCTTCAAACCCAGCACAGAGAGCCTTCAAGACAGCTCCTTTTTCCAACTTTCCTGTAAAGAAGATGCATTAGTGATGATAATAGAAAGAGTGTACACGGTAACCTTGATCAATAGAAATACCTCTATATTGTCGATTATTTACAACAAGGGTAGGCAATATGGTTACGTCACCACGCGATCCTTTACCAATCTACAGGAGTTATAAATCTCAGTAATATTAAATGATCACCATGCACAGAAGATCATATAAAGTAGTAATGCAGGACAGCAGAGGCACTTTAATCTTGCTTTGAAGTACTCATGATACTCACCTGAGCATCCTGCTCTTCCTTAAGAACCTTGTTATCTGCATCACTAGTTGGGTCACCGATGCATTTGTCAATTTTATTCAGATCAAGACCTGAATGAGAAGAATACTATTACATGCTTATCTTGCAACAAGATAGATGCAGAAGGTGAAAAGGAGCGAAAAGCAACCTAGGGATTTGATGACACCATCTGCACATTCCTTATTATATTTCTTGTCCTTCATGGGGCATCTGATTTGGAAATCAGTAACATAGTCCCACCAGATCCATGGCTTGCTTGACTCATTGGCCACTCTAAACACACATAGCTGCCGCAAGTTTTCCATAACAACATCCTTCCCATCATAACCACTGCTGAAATCTTGTTCTGGGTCTGGAGCACAATATCTTCCATTGTTGATACATTGCGATTTGCATTGCTTGCTGGAGGTGAATGCCTGAGGGCAATACCAAGTAATATAATGTGGTGTAAACTGAGTATAACCGCCTTTTTCAAGAATTTGAGCAGCCCCTTTGAAATCCTTCACAAACTCCATCAGCATATCACACTTAACCCCACACTCGTCATTGCTGTTTGTCCATAGTTCATATTCAACTCGGTCATCTGGGTGGGGAACAGCTTCTCTCCAGTCAAGATTCACATTCACCATGTCTCCTTTCCTGATAGCCTCCTTTAGTTGTTCACCAAATCTCTTGTCAATTAATGCAGACGGTATAGTTATGTTAGCAATATATTTTTCAGAAGCACGGGCCTCTGCAGGTGAGTCCATCGTGATTAACGGTTCATCAATGTCATCAGAAACCAGCACCGCAGCTGCGCCAGCATTTTGGGCATTCCAAACCTTTAAAGCAAAAAAGCAATCTGCAATGCAGGGATACATACACAGTGATAAATATAATTACATCAGATGAAAATATAGACAGCACATTAATAGTTGATGCACACTTCTAACTGAACATGGACACCCATTTATGAGCAAATAACTTATTCAAGTACAACAACGAACCATTTTAGAACCCTTTGAAACTGCTACTTGAGCATAAACTTGAATAACAATTTTGCCCTCTTTATTATCATAAATAAATGCCAATATATTAATAATACCAAATAATTTATCGATCTAAGATCCAAAACAGAACTTACTAATAAGTATATGCTCACCTGACTACATGCACATCCCAGAAATTAACCATCACTCTAAAACACTCATCTCTTTTAACAACTTTTTTTTCTTTACTATGCAATCCGACGTTCTCCTTGGAAAAATACACATCACATAAACTACTGTACACATACAAAATACAAAATATAAAGAAAAATACACATCACAAAAACTACTATACAAATACGAAATACAAAATACAAACACAAGCGAAACACATTATTTTATCAAAAAAAATAATATATAACCAAAAAAAAAAGATACAGTGCATTTACCAAAAATAGATTTTCACAATTTATAATTACTATTCCATAAATAACACATTATTTCAGAGGTCCATCATATTAACCAAAGCGATTGTTATTATTTATATTAGCTATTTCCAGTGACAATTGGTAATTGAATATAGAGTCTAATTGTTGATTAGTAATAGCAGCACAAAATGGGGTGTCAAAATTATATGTTCCAAAAATAAAAAACTAGAGAATAACCATATATAAGAGTCACCCAACTCTAAATATAATCAGCAAATAGTTTCCAATTTTTGGGAATCTACTCCTACAATAAGAACATAGAATACTATAAATTCAAATGCAGTCATAGAGAATAAAACGCCAGACCAGAAAAATTGACTCTGCTACATACACACACCAGCGGAGCACTGTGTGAAAGCATAAATTAGGAAAGTTTATCTGAATAAACCAAAAGGACAATAAGGAAAAGAATTAGTAAACTCGCCCCTGCAATAATTACCAGAAATATATACAGAATTCAAAAAAACCTCCCAAGACAAACTGTAAAAAATTAGATCAAAGACTAGCTTCCAATCCACAATCAAGCTCAAAACAAGCAAAACAAAAATAGAGATAACTAACTAAGACCCACTAGCATGCCTCAAAAAATTATCAAATCCAAGGTATTTGTAACACAACAGAAGCGATCTACACAGACACATCGCGACAAATTAAATTGGGGCAAAAAAAAAAAAAAACCCAAAAGGCACACCTCCTCGATCGACGAGAACAAAATTAGGCATAGCACCAGCTTTATTCTTAAAGGAAATCCCGAAATCATCAAAACCCTTGCACCCTTTCCTATTATCCTTGGGGTAAACAACAGTCCCCGCCATGCTTCCCCCATACTGCGGAACCCCAAAGTTGCCGATAGCACTGTCGTGCGTCCCCTTTATGCTGTCCGGCGATGTAACCTTCAAGCTGTTCTTCTCGACCACAAATCTAGCAACCGCCAAATCCGTGACCACCAGAACCGATGTTACGAAGAAAATTAATTTGCAGGAAAAACCCATTTCCTGCTTCGAATGGAAAGGTTGAGAGTTAGGGTTTTGATTTTATTCGTCCTTCTTCAGTTTGTTGAATAAATTTGACCCAAATTCCACTGAGCGTGAGATTTGGGGGTGAAATAGATGCGGAAATCTCGGTAGATGGATAGATAGATTTGCAAGAGCGAATCAGTAAATGGCGTGATGGTGTGTGTATTGGGAATGGGAACGGGAACGGGAATACTTTCACAACTGTGGACAAAAATAAATAAAGCAAATTAATAAAGAACTCTGTTGAATAAATTTGTTGAATGAAGATCCGTTTGGACTGATTGAAAAGAAATACATAGAAGCTAAAAGGTAGAATCATTAGCAAAAGTATCTTGTATTTGAATGAATTATTATAAAAATAATTTTATAAAAACTATTTTTATTATTTATTTTTAAATTTTATTAATATGTTTAAAGATTTTAAATTAATGTATAAAATATATTTTTAAATTTAGTTATTTATATTTTAGAATTTTAAGGCAAAATTGCTTTTAATTAAGGGTAATATAAGGCGTCGGTGACCTTACGGTCACAAGTCCAACTCTTACATCACCAGACCATCTCTTACGGGACATATGGTCATTTTTATTAGACATAAATTTTAATATATATTACATTTAAATTAGTTTATTATAATATAAAATAAAAATAATTTATATACGAATGACTTAATAAAGTAGAATTTATATATATATATATATATATAAATTGAATAGTTAAATAGTTGTGACATATTTATAAATGAATATAATGTTTAAAATATATTTCTTTCATCCATTGGTTATACATAATGTTTTATTTAAATTATTTAGTTATGTTATTTTTAACTTATAATTCTTTTTATTATATATTAATTATTTTTTTATTAATATATTTCTTAATTACTTACTAATTATATTTTTTCTAAATTATTGTATTTAAGTTAATATGAACAATTTAGCTAGAATAAAATAAGTATAAATCAAAGATTGTGTAAAAAAACTTTTTGCTATAAATTAAAAATACAAATTTTTTATTAAAAAAAACCATAAAATTTTTATGAATGTATAAATATTAATTTTTTTAATTTATTTCAAAGTATTTATATTAAGAGGGTGTTTGACAATTAGCTTTCTGAAGAGCTTTTAATTGTTTGACCGGTCAAAAAGCTAATTTAGGTGTTTGGTAAATTAGTTTTTCGAATAGCTTTTTGCTAACTTACCCTGCGTTTTAAAATAGCTTTTTCTGTAAAAAGAAATTTATTCCTTACATATCCTTAAAAATTTATTATGCATTTTATACAAATAAATATATTTTGATTATTTATTAATTATATTAAAATATTTTAATATATTATAGTTTTACTTTTATAAATTTAAAATAAATAATTTTTATATATAAATTATTTTAATTGTAAAATATATAGATTTATTAAAATCAACATAAAATAGAAAATATAAATATTAATAATTTATTTTTATATTAAAATTTACCTTATATAAATTTTATACTAAAAATAAATTAAAAAAATTATTTAAAATTATGAATATAATGAACTAATCGATAACTAAAATAATAAATATATACACGAAAATTTTATTATTTTATATTTTACATTATTTTTGATAGAAAAAACTATTTATATATTTTAATAAAAATATATTATTTTTTAAATCTAACTATAATAAAAATAAATATTTTTATAACACTTTTACAATTTTCAATAACAAATAACAAAAAATTTCAAGCATTCTAAACTCAAAATAACATAATTGAATATAACAGAAAAAAAAATAAAATAGAAATATCCTCAATTGTCATTTTACGTTAATATCAAACAATTGTTTTATCAAACATTTTAATACAAACAGCTAATCAAATCAGCTAATTGAATCAGCTAACTGCTAACAACTCTCAGCTAATTGTCAACCACGCCCTAAGCGAAAATATAAAAGTATCATGGATCTATTCAATATTATATATATATATATATATATATATTTCTCAATTGTAAAAATAATTTTCTATTTTTCAATTGTAATTTGTCATATTCCTTAACATAACTTTTGTTGCTAGTTGCCAAAGATTTCATCCTCACTCCTCATTGCTGCCTATCATCGACACTTGCCTTTGCTTTGCCATTCTTTCCATTGGCTTTGTCTTCCTTTTTGTCTCTTTTTACAATGTTTCCAAAGAACAAAAGGTTTGTTTGTGTATCGATATATTTTTTTTTGTTTTGTATTTTTTATTTACAGTTTGATAGTTTGGTTTGGTAATTTAGGTTAAAAATATTGATTACATTGTGTTGTGTACTTTTTTCAGTTGACATGATAGTATTTGTGTATCTCTTGTATTTTTTGTTTGCATTTTTTTAATAGTTCTATTGTGTATTTATGTACTTGATAATTTAAATTTCTAGCATATTTATTTCTTACAAAATATGTCTATTACTTGTAATTATATGCAAAATTACTACCATTTTTATTCATAACATACATTATAAATTGTTATCACTTGAAATGATGGGAGCTATAAAAAATAAGATTCCTACTCAAAGCCTTGAAAATGCAAAATTTCACTAAAAAAAGACTTGAATCCAGCAAAAAATTTGCGCAGTGAGACTTTCTATAAGACATATGGGCAACACCCAAGATAGCGCCGATCAGAAAAGATACTTCGTAGAAGTAAATATGATACCAACGGAAGCAAATGTTGGGACCTTTGAAGTGACCATTTAGACGAACATAGCATTCTACTCAAAATTCATGATGATGACGATCCCGACACTGAGGAAAGACTTCTTCAACAGGGCATAATTCCTACAAATTCTGCATCTAGGAGGAAGATCAGCGCTGAAACAATCACCATTTGATGATCAGATGGATGTCTACGATTTAGAAAGTACGTAGTTGTAGCAGTTGCAACCATTTAAGCGCCACTCCAACGCTTATCAAAATACTAGTCTGATTTGTATAATTCTATACATACAATATAACACTACTTTTTATTCTTGCAATTTTTTGCTGTAAACTGTTCAGAGCTCAAACTGTAAGAAATTTTTTCTTATAATTTTTTTTATAACATTTTTTTTCATGGAGGAACTCCTCCTTTGACCTCTTATGTCCACCGCTAGAATCTTTTTTAAGCTAAGATTATTATTTTTTTCTTAGAATATACCTAGTTGTAATTGTTCTTATTTTCTAGGAGAAATAAGATATCATTAATTTTTGTATTTCATTTAGCTCACACATCAATCCATGTTCACCCTTGGGCGGTTTAGGTTCGAGTGTCATTAAAATTTTAGAAGAGCGAATATGAGTTATTTAGACATGTCTTTTCATGCAGACAAAAAAATGACATATATATGGTCTATAATAAATGAGAAATGGCAGCCACCAATAGCATTCCACCACTGACTATTGTTGAGCTTTAAGGTAGGCCAAATCTGAACATAAATGGGCCACACGAGGAATCCTTCACTTGTTGTGATCCCTATGGATGATCACTATGAAGCTCTTCTTGATCCAACACTAATTTTTTACGTCACTCTCAGAACTAGGATTTTATGAAATAAAGCTAGTGCTAGTATCAGTAATTGCACAAAACACTTACAATGAAGTTCAATGTGAAAGCCCATATGATCACTTTAGAAACTTCTTTAGTATCTATTCCACTTTCAAGATAAATGGTCTGTCACTGATAATTCTAAGCTAATTCTTTTTTATTTCTTATTGCATGCAGAAGCATAAAAATGGATGAACTCTATTGGATGCCCCACATTATTCCAAAATTGGCTTAATAGTTCTTAGCCAAATTTCATCAAACAATCAAAACAGTCCAATAAAGAATGAAGATTATACATCTTGAGCAAGCTTAAGATGAATCCTATTGGTATGAAATTTTGTTTGATGTATCGGAGATCCGCAGAATATTCAAACAACCAACTGGTGCATGTGTGGTTACTAAATTGTCCACATTAGCTGCTGATGTGGAATATTTTTCTACATATTTTATGAGTTGAAAAAAGTCTTCTTAAGAGATAAAAAAGACAATTGAAATCTTGTTTGTTTCATTGACAAAAGACACAAGGAAAAATGTGCAAACATTGATTTGGAAAGTAAAAAAAAAAAAAGATGAACAAAGAGGAATGGACACTCTATCCCTTTTGGATCCGCACACATATCATACAACCAAGCTGATGCCTGCATGTCTTCAAATCCGCTCTCGATGCTCAGTTCAAGGTCTGATATATTGGTCTTTGAAAAGCTCCAACATTAGATAAATTTTTTATCTCAATGCTTGACTGTAATCAAAGACAAAATATCTTGTCCCTCGTGCTTGCATCAAAATGGAAAGTCAAAAAGAGATGAAGAAAAATGGAGGGAGACTCGGTCCGTTTTGGATCTGTAGAAAGATCACACAACCAATTAGCTATCTGCAAGACTGCAACCTGCTTGAGTTCATGGTTCAAGGTATGATGTTCTGGTCATTGAAAAAGCTTCAAAGTGAGACAAAAAATATATATCTCACTATCCTACTTCATTAAAGACAAAAGGGCTTTGTTTCACGAAATTGCATGCAAAAAAAATGTCAAAAATAAAAGAAGAAAAAGGTTTCCAACACCCATTAGCAAAAGAGGTAATATTTAACTATCTCTTCCTTCTAGGCATTTATGTGGAGTTTAACATTTCAATTTCGTCCCATATGCATAGATATGTGTCATGAGATGTGTTTTGGCATATTTGACCATTTTGAGTCCATTTGTTGTCGAATGTTGATTGGAAAAAGTGTTTTTGTGTATGTATATATATATACACTACCCATAGAATTGTGAAAATGGGGCTTTCATAATTTTCTAAGAGAGAAAATTTAATATCTTTCGTGTTCTAAGTAGAGAGTGAGAACTTGAAGAGTTCTACTCATCTTCACCAAAAGGAAAGGCCAAATCCCATAGTATAATAGTTGAATTTCACTTCTAGTTGAGGGAGAGTGTTCTCTTTTATTTTGAGGAATTTTTTTGGGAGGTTAGACCATATTTTGAGTAAAAAATATGGGAGGATTTTTATCTATTACATTGGGTCTGATTCTTGTCGAAGTTGCTGGAGTTTTGAAGCCAAAATCACATCCTGAAGGAATCACAACAGTCTGCTGTGTCGACAAACTACCGAGTGTTTGTTTGGTTCAAAGGGGATTCCAAGGAGAGTCAAAGGAGGAGAAGGTGACAAGTTGCC